TAGTTTTCACTTTTTCGACCGTCTTTTCTTCCATATGTATACATGTGTAATGTGTTAAAGGGAGTATATACTATGTACCAGATTTACTTCTAGTCATAGAAGGGGCACAACTTTGGGGTGTATTTGTGAGAATATATTTGCCTATATTTTTAGGAATTATTGTATTTTAGAAATTTGGAATGGTTTTAGGCATTCGAAATGGTTGTGATTATGTAATTATTTTGTGTAATTCATATTTCCTTTTTAAGCTTAGGGATTAGAGTTCTATATAAGTGATGTACTCTTTATTTCAATTATTCAGTTGAATATACAGAAATATGCAAAAACTTACATGGTATCAGAGCTAGGGTTTTATTCGAACTCGTTGGTCGAAGCCTTCCCGGTGTCACGAAGGCCTTCTATGTGGTTCTTCGAAGTTGTGACATCCTTCTGATCTCTAGTCTGAAGTCACGACATCTCTGGTCTAAAGTCACGACCCTCTGCTCTGGTTCATCTTCATCTTTCTCCCATGTGCAAGCCTGCTCTCCCTCTGGTTCAGCCTCGCGACATCAGGCCCTTTCCTGGTTTGCAACTTGGTTCGCAATCTCTCTCTCATCTCGGCTTCAGGTTCTCTCCTTGATTGATATTTGTGCATGATTGGGTCAGAACTTTGGTTATTATAATTTTGACCTAACAAGGTTCTGAAGTCACGACCCTCTGCTCTGGTTCGTCTTCATCTTTCTCCCTTGCGCAAGCCTGCTCTCCCTCTGGTTCGGCATCGCGACATCAGGTCCTTTCCTGGTTTGCGACTTGGTTCGCCATCTCTCTCTCATCTCGACTTCAGGTTCTCTCTGGTTCGCATCCTGGTTCACGATCTCGGCTTCAAGTTCTCTCCCTGATTGATATTTGTGGATGACTGGTTCAGAACTTTGGTTATTATAATTTTGACCTAACTAGGTTCTGGTTATTATAATTTTGACCTAACTGGTTCTAATGCACTTCATTTTGACCTAGTTAGGTTAAAACTCTCCCTGATTGATATTTGTGGATGATTGGGTCAAAACTTTGGTTATTATAATTTTGACCTAACTGGTTCTAATACACTTTATTTAGGCCCTTCATAATTTTTCATAATATTGTCACCATGTTAGACGACAAAATTCAATTTATAACTTGCTACTGGAGCCAATTATGCTTCTTGGTCCACTGTTATGAAAAAACTTTTGCTTGGTTGAAAAAAATGGGGATATGTTTTTGGTTTTGTTTCTTGTCCATCGGATCCAAAAAAGGATGGATATCAGGCTACCTGTGACACTTGGGATTGTGATAATGCCAAAGTTTTAACTTGGTTTCATAATGCTATGGATGATTCCATTGGGATGATGTTCTCTAAATATACTACTGCCAAAGAGGTTTGGGACTATTTACAGGGGGTTTATCAGCAGTTCAACTTTGTCAAACAGTATGAGTTGGAAACAACTATTCAGAATGCTCGTCGGCAAGATCAGTCTACTCAAGATTTCTACATTGAGATGACGGGACTTTGGGATCAACTTGTTCTCATGGAACCGTCTAGTCTCAAGGTACTAGATGCCTATCTGCAGCTTCGGGAAGAGGATCATTTGGTGCAATTTTTAACGACTCTCTCCCCTTAGTATTTGGCTATCCGTTGTGGCATCCTTCATCGGTCTCCTCTTCTCTCTTGGGATGCTATTGTTCGTGACTCCTTTCTGAGGAAACCCGTCTTAAGATGGCTAGTCAGACTTTGTCTTCATCTGGTTTCTTGGGTCTTGCCAAATACTCGTTCTGATCTTGCCTATGTTATCCATGTGGTTAGTGAATTCATTTTTGCTCCTCGCTCTACACATTGGGCTGCTTTGATTCGGATTCTTTGCTATCTTCGTGATACTATCTTTCAAGGCTTGCTCTTATCTTCTATTTCTTCCTTAGATTTGGTGGCCTATACTGATACTAATTGGGTTGGTGATGTTAATGATTGCAAGTCTACTTCTGGTTTCTGTATGTTTCTTGGCGATTCCCTGATTTCTTGGAAAAGTAAGAAACAAACTATTGTTGCCCGTTCTACTGCTGAAGCTGAGTATCGTGCTATGACTCATGCTACTGCTAAAATTATTTAGCTTCGTAGTCTCTTATCTGACTTGAGTGTCCCTCAATCTTCTCCGACCTCACTCTATTGTGACAATCGAAGTGCTATTCAGATTGCCCATAACACTGTCTTTCATGAACGGACAAAGTGTATTGAGATTGATTGTCACTTCGTCCGCAAACATCTGCAGTTTGGCTCTATGTTGCTTCCGTTTGTCACTTTGACTCTGCAACTTGCTGACTTTTTTAACAAGACTCACACCACTACTCGGTTTCGGTTTCTTCTTGACAAACTCTTATTGTTTTCTACTAGAACACCTTGAGTTTGAGTAGGGGTGTGAAAATATATTTGCCTATATTGTCTATATTCTTAGGAATTATTGTATTTTAGGAATTTGAAATGGTTCTAGGAATTTAGAATGGTTGCGATTATGCAAATATTCTATATAATTCGTGTTTCCTTTTTAGGCTTAGGGATTAGAGTTCTATATAAGTGATGTACTCTTTGTTTCAATTATTTAGTTGAATATACAAAAATATTCAGAAACTTACAGTACCTCCATTGGTAGCACATTGAGGTGGTGGATAAGACAATGTTGTGCCTTCAATGGCACAAACGAGGGGGGTGCACTACAGAAATGGTTGCAGCAGCAGTAAAGAATATAGCACATCTCTGTTTATGGAAAAACCCTAATGTTATGTTTGGTATGCTAGAATGGGCTGGAATGAATTTATGCATTCTCTTTCTCTTGTTTAGTATGAATTATGCAAGTGGGAATACCTATTTCCTCTTCCAAGTATAAAAGTATGTATTCCATTCTATTATGGAATCACCCTAAAACAATGAATTTGTTAGCCTCCCCTCTATTGTTTGCCACAGCCATGCACCACCCCTACCATCCCCCCCACCGTCTCCGTCGCCCCACCACAACCACTAACACCATCATTGATCTATGATTTATTTAAATTTGTTGTTACTAGTTTGGTAAAAAAAATAATTTCATTCTATCAGCTTAATAGGTATAACCAAACATAAGACTAATCATTGTCATTCCATGTTGACCAGCATTCAATTGCGTTCACACTTGAATTCTAGCTCCACTCTCATTCCATTCTCACACCATTCAATTCTTGCATACCAAACCTGCCCTTATACTTTCAATGGTAATAATGGGACATCATAATAAATTGGTGATATTTAGTAGTTTAATATATAATCAAGCCAAGGTGAGGTGGGTGTATACCCTTTTCCTACTCTACCCCAGATTAAGTTGGGTTTATGATTTTTACCCCTGAAACTTCCCTTACTCCATTTGAAGCCTTCCCAAACCCATTTCAATAAGGTCAGGGTGGATTAGGGACTCAAACTTCCAAGCAATTTACCATACCTGGACGAAGCAAAGAAGAGGAGGGAGAAAAGGGAACTTGACACAATTGTGAACGTGACAATCAGTCGTGAAAGTCTTTTTACATTTGCATTTTGAAACACCAATAAAAATATGGTTGTTGGGTTGTTTGGTTTTAATTTTAAACAGAGCTCCTTGGTTTGTTATTCCAATTTCCAACGAGGTTGACTGAGGTATTTTACCTATATGGTTTTGTTTTCATTTTTCGGGAAACACAAAAACTTGTTTAGCAAAGTGTTTTCTAGAAAAGTTCAGGAAATTTTTCTAAAAGCCACCTTTGTAGGAAACATCAAAAAATTTCTTTTGCAAATTTCAAGTTTTCACACAAAAAGAGAAACCATACGAAAATGATTTTTTTAAAACTTTTCATTGCTTTGTTTCTTAAACAGATGAAACAAAAACAAAAACGAAAACAGAACCATTATGTTCTGGAATTAATACCTTGGAAATGTACTTTTGGTTTGCTTATAAGGTCAACCCGCATTATAATATAGATATTATCTTACCCAAATGCTTTGGCTTACAAATGTATGTTTGCTTTCCTTTTATTTTTGCAATTAGTAATGGGGGGAACTTACGTCCCAAGTCCTAATATGTAGATTTATTGTCCAATAGGTCTTATGATAATTAATGGCGTTTTACATCAAACACTATTAAAAAACGTCACTAATTATTGATTTTCAGCGACAGTTTGAAAATTGTCACAAAAAATGTCACTAATTATAATTTTAGCGACAGTTGAATAAAAATCATCACAGAAAAGCATCACTAATTTTTAACTTTCAGCGACAGTTTGAAAAATTCGTCACAGAAAAACGTCATAAGTTTTAGCAACAATTTATAAAAATCGTGACAATAAAAGTAACTAATTGTTAATTTTTAGGGACGTATGCAAAAACATCGTCACAAAAAATTATTTTTAGCGACGTTTTTAGTAAGACTTATTTTCAATAGAACTTGATGGGAATTAAATCCAACTATTAGGACTTATTGGTAGTTTACCGTTAATGGTGTGTAGTGGGAGACTTACATGTAAGTCCCAATATGTGGACTTATTGTCCAATAGAGGCATTAATATCAAGAAATACAATATCGATTAAGGTGCTTGCCGGTTCTCCCCCTAAGCATTATGATGTAGGCATTCAATTACGCAAATACTTTGCCTCGAAAGTAATTTTGTTGATGCTCTCTCTGTCATTACTAAAGGGGAATTACTGTTAGTTGATCCAATTGTTCTCTAACCTAGCTTTTGGCATAAAAAAAAAGTGCTTGAATTTCTGCATTCAGATTTTCAGTATTGTGGCTGTTGCGAACCTTTTCTCACTGCTTTGATGAGAACACATTGAAATGACATTCTTTGATGGCCAAATGCTGCTTTTTCCATGGCCTGTTAATGTTGACCCTCTACATAAGTAATGATTTTTCTTCTATATTTTCATGGAACAACTAATGATGGGTCTGTTTTTTGTCTTCCTCCATACTAGTTGACCAAGATGTGCCTTCTTGTAGGATGGTAATGAAGTTTTCTTTAGAATCAAAAGAAGCACCCAACTGAAGAAACTTATGAATGCTTACTGCGATCGACAATCTGTGGAGATGAACTCAATCGCCTTCTTGTTTGATGGGCGGCGTCTCAGAGGGGAGCAAACTCCTGATGAGGTCTCCTCTCTCTCTCTCTCTCTCTCTCTCTCTCACACACACACACACACACACAGACAGAACCGGAAACCCCTTCCTTACCCACATACTGATGCATCCAAAGATGCCTCCAAATCGCATACGTTAGCTTCATGTACATTGTAATTATTTGTCTTATTTTCTTGTTGCTTCAGCTGGAGATGGAGGATGGTGATGAGATTGATGCGATGTTGCACCAAACTGGTGGATCAACTGTTTGAACAATGCACTACTGCTCCGTTAATTATGTGGATTTTAAACTTTCAGTACTTGAATTTTACATTTGGATGTTTGCTGGATGTTTAATGAATGGGCCAGTTATGACCAATGGATGGACAATATGACTTGTGGTAGCAAACACACACTCTCTCTCTATCTCTCTCTAAACTGGTATGTTGTTGTGGTGAGCTACGTAATGAGGTTACCATGTGTATTTATTCTGAAGTATTGTGATATGTGCCTAATTTTTAATTGAAATTGGGACTACGCGTTTCAGATATGGATAATTTTGTTAGGAAGATGTATTGGCTACTACAGTTATTTTGTTCAGTTTTTAGAGAAACCGACAAGTTGAATGGGGCTAGGGGTAACGGGGAGAAGAGAAAGGGCTTGAAGACGAAAGATGGGCTCTCTTACGTCAAATAGAAGGTAGTGTGATGTATTTTTGTGGGACTCTCTGCCCCTAATTGTGACATGATATGATGAAACAGAGGACTTTTTGGATTTGTTGATGGAAAAAGTAAGAAAATAGATAAGAATTCATTCTTTTTAGACCAAAAGTTCAAGTCGTGTGGGGGTCAGTTAAAAAGGGTAAATTGCAATTTACTTTGGATTATTATTTCAAATTTGAGTAATTTTTACTTTGGGTCATTGTTTCAAATTGAATAATTTAATAATTATAGTTTTAATTTGATATTTCCAGTCAAATTGAATGTTCAAATTAATTATTTTTGGATACTTGTAAATGTTTAATATGTACACCAAAGAAAATAAAATTTAATGAAAATTTAAATAGAATGACCAAATTAAAATTAATATAGGGACTTGAATTGTTAAAATTAAAATAATAGGGATTAAAAATAAAATTTGAGTTAAACTATAAGTATGAAAGTGAAATTTACCCATTTAAAAACTTGCTCAGTATTTATTTCCTCATTCCACCAACTAAAGTAAGCATTGTCTTTCATAATCAACACAATTCCAGCAATATCTTCCATTTTGATCCTTTTCAAAAGGCTGTGCCAAAGCTGACAATTATTTTTACAATTAGTTTTGAAAAACCGAATACATATACATGCATATATTCAATCTTTACTTGTAACCAACCAAACTGTATTATTTTCTTCCTCTTTTCCTTAGTCCAACCAAACAGAATCCAAAATCCAAACAGCATAAGTATAACCTCAACTAGTTTTCAACAATTGCCACAAACAAACAGATTTATGAGTATTCAAAAAATTTATACATGAGCTGGCTAAATGTACATATGCTCTCTGTATGAAAGAAAATTTGAACTTAAAAATAATTATAAAAAAACACATATTAAAGAACAACACAAGACAATTAACTAAATACAACAAAACCAATGCTAGATGGAACATCTGGAAAGGAAGGAGGCGTTCGGGAGAGAAATTTTCTGCAGCCAAACTAACACAAGTCGAATAGGAGACATATACAAAGCTCTTCCTAATTGGGGGTTAATTCGGTGCTCTACCTAGAGTTGCTTCTGTATATCACTGTACAATCTACAAGTCAGATTCTGGGTCATGCTACTGTATTGGTATTGGTCACGTTTAGTTTTCTCTTATGCCAAAGGGAATGTATTTGCCACTGGAAATAGGTTTGTTTGCACCGTGCAGGTGTCAGTTCCGCTTTTTATCGGGCTTCAATTCTTGTGGACCTGTCTCTGACTGCAAACATGAAATTAACCAAACCAAACAGCGCCTAAGTAAAGACAAACACAATACAGAGCACAATATGTTGTGTGCAAATTCTATATTGCAAGGTGTAAATCGCATTCATAAACATATAGAGAAGAAGATTAGCATACTACATTATTTAAATCAACTTTATTTTCATGTATCTGTTAGAAGAATGACTGTATGCAATTGTCAATCACAAAACTCTGACAGCGAAAGACAGATTCCAAGTGTCTTGCTATATATCCGTTTTCAAGAAATATTGATTACCTACTTGTAAATGCCACAAGGGGGGGGGGGGGGGGAAATTCCATTAATTACAGAGGAAAAGAACACAACATTTCACGCAGGTTCCAGAACCCTAACTGTTACCCATTTCTTGTATAAATATACGATTAACTAAAAGCTGGAATCCATAACCGACCAATTATTTGAATAGATAATCAAACCAAACATCCACTAAATGGTGAACGAGCACTGTAAGGGACATGAAAACAACATTCCTAAATTATTGATCATCACCTATTCATACAAGCCATTCTTGTAATGAAACGAGCATGACACGTCCTCATTTCCACAATAATGAAGCAAAGAGTGATGGTGATGCTCAAAGCTCTTGCTGGTATATTTCCGAATTGGGTTCAGTTTCTCTCAAATTGTCATCTCAACTTGAGAGAGTGTTTAGATTTGATAAGCCCATTTTGGGACCAATTTCACCTCACCTCTCTACTTTTCTGCATATCTTTTCGTAAAAAGACAGAAAGTACACTTATTTAAGTCATCCCAAACAACCCCAAGAGAAATGTATCCCGATGTCTATGTGGTTATCCATCTATGAGTGGAAAAATTCCATTTCTCATCTAGGTGATTTTTTGTCATTGTATTGTGTACAAGTATAGTTGCTGTGGAGCTTAGGAGCAAAATTTATGTTGTTTAACCAATTTGAAATGTCTATGGAAAATTACTAGAGAAAGCAACGCTATCCCACCAAACATTATAATAATAACAAAAACAAAAAACCATACTTGGCATGTAATAATAATAATAAAAAAAACTAATAAAACTCCATTTCATTGTCACCTCACCTCTCTCCCTCCCTCTCTCTCTCTCTATATATATATATATATAATAATAATATCATATATATATCAAGAAATTTCCCATTACGCGTGGACTGTAATTTCCCTTCTTCCCTTCATTCCCATTTTAGTGCATCATTAGAGGACAGTATACTTCAGCCTGCATCAGTAGGCTTTAGTGAATCCTCAACCCCAACATCATCCCCTTTGCCTAAGACACAAGGAGTACCTCCTGCTGTTGTCTAGCCCAAAGTTTCTAAAGACGAATGCATAACACGAGGCATTTACCCCTCGTGAGGCGAGATGAGGCATAAGATGTTAATATATATATAAAGATATAAATACTTTTCTCTTCAAGGCATCGAACATTCATTGCAGAGTTCTCATCAAAGGAGAAATCAACATGCTTAGTTTCAATTATCAAGCTTCTCACTTGAGTCTTCTTAACTTTGAATTATTCTTTCGTTGGTCATTTAACTGATTTTTCCCACTATAAAAAATATTATGAAAGATGTTCTTTTTTATGTTTAAATTATGTATTAGACTAAGTTTAAACCCCAGACAAGCTCTCCACATGCATACTCTTAGTATGCTTATGCACAAAAGTCATACAAGGTGTACCTAAGGCGCACACCTCAAATTGTGATTGGCAAGCCTTCGGAAAGTATCGCCTAAAAATTGAAACCTTAATGCATTTTGCCTTAGCCTCACCTTGAACAAGCCTCAATGACACCTTTTAAAACTTTGGCCTAACCCCACAGCCACCTAAAAACCACAAATGGAAAAGAAAAAGTTTGGGACGAATCGATACCTACCAATGTGATTTTTTCTCCCTATTTATCAAGGAAATGACGTATGCTGCTAAAGATCAAGCGAGTTGTTCTTACTAAAATAAGATCATAGGATATACAAAAGCAGTATTTTCTGACCAATGAGCAACAGTAAAATATAAAATTATACTATAATATATAAAAATAACAGAACAAATCAAAATATTTAGTTTCCTGGTACAAGAAGGAATTGATAGAGAAAGCAATCACAATGATATCCTCAAACTGTAAGACCATAAATTAGTAACTACTATGGAGCCTGGAGATGGCATATGTTTGAGGTGAAGTGTACCCGAAATATATTATTTCATAATTGGAGCTTACAATGAAATTGCATAGATATAGAAAACTCACCAAATTTTGGGTTCCACGTGTTCCTCTATGACTAGAATCTGCAGGTCTTAATACCTGGGTTGGGCGAGACAGCCTTCGGATAATCTCTTGGGAATGATTATAAATGCTGCAAACATTGAATAAATTCCAATTGGATTGGTACATGACTAAATGAACTGAAAAAGAATCATGAGCAGTAATTTCCAAGGTAATAACAGAAAAGGAAATGTCAGCGCAATGCATGAGAATGGTTGTTAATATATAATTTTTTTTAGAGTTGCCAACGGTAAGAAATTTCTGAAAAGAAGAAAAACTTCCTCAAATACATAATAAATCTCTCAACAAAAAAGAATTTGCAAGAAACTTCAACATAAAAAGAGTTATTTTTAACTTCTCCAGCAATAATTTAAAGCTGCCTTCTTTGAAGCCAATTTGGTGACAGATACTTCAATTGTACAGCATGAGAGAGAACATTGCACTTAAGAACCAAAAGGAGTCTATTAGTCAACAATCATCACACATTCAATTCTTCATGATTGTCTAAGAAAAATTCCCAAAATTAAGCAAAGGCAAAATAAGGAATTTTGTGCTTTAATAAATGCACAATGTTAGTACAGTGTTCTTTAGTCAATGCACAATGCAAAAGAAGCTTTGCACATTTTGTGCTTTGAATTGTGCATTGACATGCTTTGAACTTTTGGCTTGCAGTTAAAGACCAAAAGAATAAAAGACTGTTGGTAAACAATGCTACTCCCTGTGACTGCTTTAAAAATAGGCCCGCGGGCCGTGATGTCAAATGCCATACAAGACATAAGTGAACCCCGGGCGTGATGTCAAATGCCATACAAGACATAAGTGAACCCCTTCTTATCACCCATTGGTTTTAGGAAAGATGGTGGAACTTAGTCTGACAAGTGATATCAGAGCCAAGTTGTCATGTCATGGGTTCAAGTAGGGAGCATAATAGGCCACAGAGCACAGAGCACAATGTCAAATGCCATAAAAGACACAACTGAAGCCCTTCCAATCACCAATTGGTTTTAGGAAAGATGGTGGAACTTGGTCCAACAAAGACAAAAATCATGATATGTATATCCATACATTGAATTACAAAACACTTAAAAAGCACCTTCTCACTCAACTGATGAGTTTTTTAAAACCATCTTTTGTGGTTAATCAAACCACATAACAAAAATGACTTGCTCCAACTATTTCTCATCCACTAAGATTCACTAAACACTTGCTTATTAATTAATTATCATGTTCTCACCTTGCTCATGTAATGCCCTACATAGAATCATCTTTCAAGTTTTAACTCAGCATATTCATAACCACCAAAACCTCATCAACTAAAACCATAATCAGTGGGCATACACCACAGGACATCTTACCCTAAAGGCACAGATTACATGGGCTTACTGACAAGTCTTGACTGGTGGCTGTGCTTTACCTCTGGCTCTTTGGAACCTCTCATAATTCACGAGACATTGAATTCCACCAGGTGCCTCCTTTATTAAGACACACAACACATGCATACAAGGCATGAAAATGCTTTACCTCCAAGTTTGAATTATCTCATTCAACCAAGTTTCTTAATTGATATCCACTGGCTTTAAATTCCTTGAGGCCAATCACTGTGATCCACCAACACTAGTGTTTTCTCTCCAGGCAAGAATCTATAACAATGGACATTACTCACAAACTGAATTCTTAACAGCTACCAAAACCAAAATCTACCAAATTTGCAGAAAATCTGTTAATTTCTCCATATACAACTAGTTGTTTGCTATTGTCCAAATATCTGTCAATCTCATTTTCCTACATGATAATAGCTTCCGTTTTTTCCAAAATACATAAAAGGGAGACTGCGAATATTATTCACAAAGGGACTTTTATGGTAACAGGACTGTAAGTTGATCATCTCCTACAAGTTAGCCAATGGTGGTACGAAATTTATAGGACATAGGAACCTTTCCAAAAGCCTCAAATTCTTTTTCCCACTAAAATTCCGATACCATACTACAATAGGTAGAATGATTAAACAAGTAAAAAATGCTGTTTCTCTAACCATGCTAAAGACATGCAGCCCATCAGGGACTCCAAATAATTGAAACTCAACTCTTAACTTCTCATTGTTCAAACCATATTCAAGCACGTATTCACTTACAGTTCCTATCAACAGAACACCTCTTTCAATTAACTAAGGAAACCTATCCGAATCAGTAGCCTCATCTGAAGTTCACATATTTATGTCACCCTGATAAAAGTGCATAAAGAAGGAGATAAAAATCTGAATTCTGTGAGGAAATTATTTCAGATATTATTATTTGAAATAATATCCGCACAGAAAAGTCAATGCTGAAAAAGTAGTTGGCTGAGATAAAAGGGCCTTAAAGGTCACCAGAATAATTTTTGGTGGACTGAAGCCATTTATAGAGAGAAGGAAAAGACAAACCAATAAATGACATCCATCAGAAGTTAAAGCAAAGCCATACCTAAGGCGGTGTCTATTGCAAGCTGTGAAGAAGGCAACAAAACCATTTAAAATACTCCGTACAGCACGAAAAATCTGCAGCCAAAAAAAAAATTTGAGCAGAATAATTATTTGACTATATAATATTTGGTACCACATACAATTATATAAGGATATACAACCTGGGAGAAAAGGTCACTCCAAAGTGAACGCCACACAGAAACCTCATACGAGCTCACTGTCGCCTCTGCATTTGAAGCTAACTTGACTACGCTACTTATAAAATGCCATATGTCTCGAAGAAAATCATGTGTGCAAGTAAAGATGAAGGTCAAGAAACTGGCCACTGCAACAACCACACGAACAGGAGCAAAGAGTATCTCACTGAGGATCCAGAATACAGGGTATATTATGGACATTGCTACAGTCAGGCAGAAGCAAGCAAAGTGTTAATAGTTTTCATAAATTGGATAGCTGCCACATTAAAATAACTCACACAAATGCATATTTATTATCAGTTTATTAACCTACCAACGGTCCAAGTAGATGATAGGATGAACCACACTGGCAACAATACAATCTCAACAATGTTCTCTACCAGACTGAATGAAGAATCCAACACAAACCAAATGGCTGAACAGAGGCTCTCCACTATTTCTATACACATACTCCAAAAAGGAAGGGCAAAATCCAAGCACTCCACAAGTGGTCCTGCCATTGGCTGTGTGAGCATTGAAATAAAGGACCGGAAGGTGCGTGTGAACATCAGGAACCACTTAACAGCCTTCTCGAAGTTGTGTAGAAATAACATTGTCCCCAAGTACTTGATCCTCGATACCATCTCCCAAGTTTCTATCCAATCAAGAAGAGGACCACACAAGCGAGATGCAGTAGCCTTGAGGACTGGGACATTTTTGTATAAATCATAAAATCCAATAAGTACAGTTACAAAAGAAATCAGCACATACAAAGTTCTTGCCAGTGGGCACATCCATGGACGATAAATATGGCAAAAAACTGGGTATGATTGAAGGAAAATAACCCACGATGGAAGACCAGATTCCAATAAAGTAAGTATCCTCAAATCAGACATAATTATTTCCTTCAATGTAAATGGGAGGTCACGATCATCAAACCGAAACAGTATCAAAGCATCCTTGTACTGGGTAGCTTCAACCGCATCTTCACAATCACTCACATAAGAGTTCTGAGAATGCAATGGTGAATCAACAGTCTCACCATGTGTTTCTTCAGGATATATATCGACATCAAATCCAGAACTAGTGGACTTCATAACTTTTCTTCTCTTATAAGGCCCGTCAGGAGGAGGTGGTGTGTGCGGTGTGTGTGGTGTGCTTGATCCATTTTCCATGTTTGCAGAATACAAATAAAATCTGCTATCAAGATAGCAAGGAGATTGATCCCCAGCACACACATCATCATTGCAGATATTTTCATCGAAACTGCTGGCTTTTGGAAAATTTTCCTGAGCATCATAGAACACATCTCCTGTAATAAGTTACAAAACAATCAGGAATTAAATAACGTTTCTCCTCAGTCCACATCCAAAAAAAATGTAGTGCTTGGGTCATGATGTCATCATGTCACATACATATGTGGATCAAACCTACAGGTTAGCCAATTGGACAAAGGAGACTCTAAAACCAGTCTGTATTGATTGTCTTTTTAAAAAAAATAAAAAGAGGCCAGAAAACACAATAATGCTACTTAAACCTTCAACATCAATTGTAAAAAAAACTATAATGGCTAATGACAAAGGTGGGAAAAGGAGTTTTGACAACCCTGAATTATTTGTACAGAAAAGACTGTTGCTGAGAAATTAAGAAGAAAATGGAAAATATTCGTAAGTTAATAATCTAGATATTAACCTATCTTTAGGAGGCATATGCCTTGAGTACAGCTTAAAGTAAGAGATTATACCTCACCTTGAGGCTCAAACTCATGGTCCTAAAAAGTTCACTTAAAAGCTACTGGAGCTATCTTCAGGGCATAAACCTCATGCCTTAAAAAATACTGGTCCATATTGTTTTTATTGTGTAAGGCCACCACAGAACCATTAGTTAACCACATAACCTCAAGCCATATATTATAATGCATCGGTACTCTAGTTTGCTTAATATATCAGAAGATAAAGTAAAAGACCGAAAGAAATGTTGTTTATAGAATTCACTTGAGACTTACTGCTTATACCTTGATGTTCAACTCAATACAAACCATCAGGCTTAACCTACCTGACAACTGCCCTTAAGATATAGAACACTCATCAGGCACACCCAGATCTTAGTGTCTACATCTTTTTTTTTTTTGGGTAGGTCTTAGTGTCTACATCTCATTCATAAAGCAACTATATGGGGCTTTATCAGAATTATAAATTATAAGTTTCTCGATAGTTGACTACTTTAGTACAGCTACAATTGCTACAAACAGAAGCACCCCAGTTGAGCAGTTAGAGATGACCTCTGACATACACAATTGTTGACAACATGTCCCTATTCAAATTTGTGATGAACCTTTAATCCAAGATTCTTCATGAACCTCTGGCCTTATGATTCCTTAAAAAAATTGCAACACTAAATTATTTTCAATATGACGTTATTCTTTCAACATTTATAACAGGTAATGCATAAGTTAATTGTGTCCATAATATTCTCTGACATTTTTTAAGATTTTAACTAGGATGAAATGAAATTTGTTATGCTTTGGTACATTAGGAGACAAAAGGCTTTGCCTTCCCTACCTTCTATAATGATGAAAAAATTGTATTCTTTGCATTGTGAGCAACACGATGACATTATTATTTGATTCTTCAACATGCACAGCTGCAAAATGATACAAGAATACACTATGCACTGCTCATGCATAATGAACATAGCATAAAAAAAAATAGACCATACGCATGTGTCTATTTAGACGTTGCAAGGTTTTGTGACAAACACCCCACTGAAGCAATACACACATCTGTGTCCAGAGATTTTAATAATCCAAAGGAGCTGCTTGATTCAAATTAAACTAAAGTCAAGTCTAGAAAAAGTTTACCTATGGCAGATTCCAAATATCCTTTCAAGAGAAGTTGTTCATGGTGTGTTCCTGAAAACCATGAAGATATGCATTTTGCAGCTTGTTCTATACTATCAAATTCCCATCTTTTCATGAATATAGCCTCTATAGCCAGGGATGTATCAGTCTGCAAGTAGGATGAAAATCATTAAGCACAACTCCTATATTGCAATGCATATAGAAGATGCAACATTAAGGTACAAGAATACCTGAAGTTCATTCAAATAATTAATGCCACGAACATCAGACCATGCAACTTCAAAAACAATAAAACCATATAAGGTCCTATGCAACTTGCCATTGAAAGTTAAAGAATTCCTCAACTTCTTTACAGGTAACAAAGCCCTTTTCCGAGATAATGTTGCAGCATCAATCACTGAGAACCATCTTCTGAACTTTTTTGATTTACTTGTTGTAGATTTGGGATTAGCCTTCAAATCAAGCGACTCCCCTTTTTCCTTTCTCTCTTTCCGTGCTTTAGTGTTTGCAAATGGGGATAACCTAGACTGTAGATACACATAAACGAAATAAATTTTATCAGGCTACCATCTTAAAAGAAAAATATAATGGCAAGACTATAGAAGTTTCTAGCAACCTTAGTGACCATCAATTGCCACAAGTGTGCAGACCGTGGACCAAGGTCCTTGAGCCATGGTCTGTTGTCCACCAAGATATAGAACTTCTTACTTTCAGGGGCTAGAAAAAGGCTAAGATGTGAAAGATAAGACTGCAAGTCCCTGAAAAACATAGCAGAAAAACAATTTTAGTAACAAATCACAAACATTAATTTACAATCCTCTCAACCATTTAACTAACTTCAAGTGCAGTTATTTCTCTTCTTGATTTCGTGGTTATAATAATAAGTCTACACAAATTTGAAGAACATTTTTCATATCAATCTCTTCCTCTCTTCTTTTTTTCAGGAAAGAAAAGGTGAACCCTTAAGGCACCTGGTTGCAGTTTGGTGACATATAAATTGAAGCACATCCTTGGCATCAACATCACTGGCTTTCATAGTTTAATACTAACTCACTTTCAGTTTCATTATCTAATTATCCATCACTTCAACCCTTGCAGAGGTTGCAATTTTCAATTAAATCTTTTTTCTTAATAAACAATGCATATGCAAGATTAATTATGCTTAATTTTAGGGTAGCACAATCTTTTTGTGGAATGCTTATACCCTAGACTATAATCAAACCATATACACACTAAATTGGGAAAAACGTATTTGCCAACAGTGTTCATGATAATAAAATTTAGGGAAAATTACCCCACACAAAAAAAAAAAAAAAAAAAAAAAAAAAAAAAAAACCCTCAAAGGTTTGACCTTGTAACAAAACAAATGGAGTTGTTAGTTTTATCAATTTAAACCCTAATATTTTGATTTATTTTCAATCTAAATCATTTGCTTATTTTTGTTAAGTAAAACTGACAGAAAAATAATATTTCAATCATTAAACAAAACGAAAAAGGGTATTTTGGACATTTACAACCCAACGAAAAATGATATTTTAGACATTTTATGTTCACTTATATTGAGTTAGTTTAATGATTAAAATACAATTTTTACGATAGTTTTACTTAACGGAATAAATCCAATAGATTGAAAACAAATAAAAAGTTTAGTTTTTAAATTGACAAAATTAAAAACTGTTTTGTTACAAGGTCAAACCCAGTTTTTTTCCTCTCTTTTTTTTTTTTTTTTTTGTAATTTTCCCTAAAATTTATAAATTTTCCGTCTGGTTCCATGAACTGTTATGAGCTAGTGAATTTATTAACATTAGCTAAAACCTACAGAAAAATACAGCATCAACAATCTCTATCGAGTAGAATTTAAAATTCTCATAAATTCAGTTCAATCTAACCTAAACATACTAACAAAGAAACTCTCAATATAATTCATTAATAAGCCACCCAACCCAAGCTTGATTAATATACTCGAAAGCCCCTTCACTCATTGCCAATTGGTTCTGAGTTGGATGTTATCATTATCAATCACAAAATCAATCTCCAAATTCTAAGAATTGATCATCATTCCCCCCCCAAAGAACTCACAAAAAACAGTGCCATGTCTAGATATGGTGAGGTTTAAATTAAAAAAGAATTTTAAACAGTTAAAGAAAAATTAAACTTAAAAATGTAAAACATAATAAAAATTAATGTGTAAAACAAGAAGCAAAGAAAGAAATTGATAAATGACGAAGAAGAATCTTACCCAATTTGCAAGCTGGTTAAAGGAAATAGATATCGGCGATGGTTGACTTCCGCCATTGAAATTAAAGCCCAACTTCAAATTCAAACCACCACAAACCACTGTTCAATTAAACCCATTACCACAAAATTGACACCAATGGTAAACAAATAAAAATTCAAAGTAAATTCGAAAATTTGAACATTCGAAGAATGTGATTGACGATGATTTCACCTGGTAGAAGAAAAAGAGAATTCCATGAATACAAATACGAAGATGAAGATGAAGATGAAGAAGAGAAGAGGAGGAAAGAAACACCGGCGAACTTCATAACAGAAGGAGGGACACGTTGACGGCGGAGATTGGTGGCGCCGCCTAGAGAGAGAAAGAGATCAACGGACAACAACACGAGACACGCGCATCGAAATGACGAAGCCACAGAAGCACCCCCTCCCAGAACAGAGACTCTGAGCAATTAACAACCAACAACAGATAATTGATGCAAGTCAGGTATAAAGGCAAAAACTAAAGTTTCTCTCTCTCTCTCTCTCTCTATATATATATATATATATATATGTATGTGTGTGTTTTTCTCTCTCTAAGTTTATTATATGTATATGCATGTATGCCTATAAAGGATATATATATGTATGTGTGTGCTTTTCTCTCTCTAAGTTTATTATATGTATATGCATGTATGCCTATAAAGGATATATATATATACGTGTGTTTCTCTCTCTATGTTTATTATAGATATATGCATGTATGTCTTGTTTTGGAAAGTGGGGTATTATTTTATTAGTTTTTTTTAGTTATTTTGATGAATTACACTAACAGTTTTTATAGTTTGGAACTTGTATTATTTTGGTTCTTAATTTTTTAATTGTGACCCATTTGACCTTAAATTTTGAATTTTGTTTCAAATAAGGATAATTGAAGATATCATTAAATTTTTCAAGAGTAAAATCGTTAATTTGATAAAATATAAACTAATTTGACAAAAGTAAATGTCAAACAAATATTTTTAAATTTTTAAAAATTATTTCTATCCACTAAAAATAAAATTATGTAAAATTGATAAATCTTTTAGATATTTATTTATTTTTTTAACCAGATAATTTTTATTATATGTTTGTATGATAATCATGTAAAATTAATTTTTAAAAATTAATCATGTAATTTTTATTAATTTTTATCAATTTTACATAATTTTATCATTGGTAGATAAAAATAATTTTAAAAAAATTAAAAATATTTTTTTAACATTTATTTTTGTCAAAATAGTTTATATTTTATTAAATTGACGATTTTGCCCTTGAAATTAAACAATGATATCTTCAATTGTCTTTATTTGAAACAATATTCAAAATTCATGATCAAATGTGTCACAATTGAAAAGTCAGGGACCAAAGTGATACGAGTCCTAAGCTATAGGGACTGCTAGTGTAATTTGCAATTTTTCAAAAAATTTAAAAAAAAATAAAGAAGGGATATGATATAAAAAGTTAATAAATTATTTTTTTTATGTTGTCATATTTTAAAAAATAAGTTAAAAGTTGATTTTTTTTTAATTTTTTAAAAAATTATATATAAAAATAGAGATAATGTGACTAAAAAAATTAAAAAATTAACTTTTAACTGTATTGGTACAATAAGGTGGTAAAGTTGAAAAGTGAAGACTAAAAATTAAAGTTGATTTTTTTTTTAATTTTTTAAAAAATTATATATAAAAATAGAGATAATGTGACTAAAAAAATTAAAAAATTAACTTTTAACTGTATTGGTACAATAAGGTGGTAAAGTTGAAAAGTGAAGACTAAAAATTAAGTATTAAAAATTGAATACTGAATTTTTTAAGTTGAAAAGTTGCTTGATAAAAATTTAAGTGTTAAATTAAAAATAAGTTATTTGATATGTGTAAGATAAAATTTAAAATTTATTATTTTTAAATTGTATGTTTTAATTTTTAAATTGTGATGGTGATGGTAGTGGTGGTGGTGGTGGTGGAGTGGCAGAGTGGTGGTAGCAGTGGTGGTGGTAGCAATGATAGTAGTAGTAAAATGATGGTGATATGCATGACAATAATGACAATGGTGATGAGAATTATAACAGTGGTAGTGGTGACAATGACATGATGGTGGCAGTAGTGGCATAGTAGTGGTAGTAGTGATAACAGTAGTAATGATGGTGATAATAGTAATAGCAATAGTGACATGATTGTGGTAGTTATTGTGGTGGTAGTGATAACGGTGCTAATGGCTGTGACATGGTGGTATTGGTGATAGTGGTAGTAGTGAGTTTATAATAGTATATATTAATATTTATATTTAATATTTATAAATTTAGTTAGAATTAAATAAGTTTTATATGATTTATAATTTTTTTAAATTTTAATCTATATTTTAAAAAATATTTAAATTTTTAAATAATATCAATTAGGATGATTAAATAGATTTAATTAATTATTATTTAATATTTAATTTTAAAAAAATTATGTTATCAAACGTGTGTATGCGTGGATGCTTTCTCTATCTAGAAATGGGGGGAGGAATCGCTTTCGCTTCGGTTGCAAGGAAGGCGAGTTGAGGAGAGAGAGGGATTTGAGCTGATCTAGGATAGGATTGGGAAGGGGGGAGGGTTGGAAATTGTAAAATGCCTTCGGATCTGAGAGAATTCCCGCCAGCTTCGTTTGTTGTCTTCACGAATGACAGAGGGTCCACAAAACAACAATGATCGAGACATTTTTTTTATTTTTTTTTTGAGATCTCCATAATCTTTTTAGATTTCCATCATCGTATAGGCCTTACCCATACATAGATTCCACACATATATTAATGGTTAAGATCTAAAAGTGATTGTGAAAATCTCAAAAAAAAAAAGATTCCAAGCATTTTTTTCCACAAAATATAATTTTAACAATTTTTAAAATGATTTGGACTATTTATTGTGAGAGATAAAAAAAATTAAATAATTATAATTTAGATGTTATTAAATTAAAAATTTTATTTTTTACTTTTTGTAATTATTTTAGTCAAAAAAAATTCTATTTTAATTTATACCAAAAGAAGACTGGAAAGATTAAAAAAAAAAGGACAAATTACATATACCTCTCGAGATTTAGTAAAATTACAGATATCCCTGAGGTTTAAGAAATTACACATACCCCCATGAAGGTACTATTTGCATAACAAATTATGAAGTAAATTGTTATGAAAATATAAATCTTAGGGGACAATTTATTATTAAAATATAAATCTCAGGGAGATATTTGTAATTTCTAAAACTTCATAAAGTATCTATAATTTAGCTAAACCTCAAGAGAGGTATATGTAATTTATAAAAAAAAAAAAAAGGGGGCCGGGTTCGGAAAGCCAATGAAAACAAAACAAGGGAGAGACGTGCGCGTCTGGGAATAGATACTACGCTGTGGCGCGTTGTATTAAACGAGACTTGTACTCTTCCTTTCTACCATCCTCTCATTACCGTTAATATACGTTTGTTTTTAAATTTAGTTTAAAAATTGAAAGTATTTATTTATTTATTTATTTTAAAATTTGTTAATAGTAAACTATAGATTTATTTTAATACAAATTGTTTGTTATAATTTTAAAAATTACACATACTCCCTGTCATAATTTTTTAATTAATATAAATTATATAAATAATCAATTAAAATATATTTATGATATCATTAATAATTATTAATTGATTTGATAATTTATTAATTATTTATTATTCAAATAAAAAGTTGAAAGAGTAAAATATAATTTTTAGAACTATATGAGATAATTCATATCGGTGGTATTATATGTACCAATTAGTGTATTAATATATGTTATGATATTATTATTGACTCTACTCATTATACAAATTACAAATATTCAAAATCTCTAAAATTATATCACATAATTTGTTTGTACACTAATTGATATATCAATTGGTATATATAATATTATTCTAATTCATATTTTAAGCAAATTTTAAAAAGTATATTTATAATTTATATTTTTAAGGTGTATTTATAATTTATTAAAAAAATATAGCTAATAAATATTGTCAAGTATCTTTAAAACACATGTTGATATAATAATCTTTAAAATTTTAATAATTTTTAAATATTACATATTTATTGTTACACTCATTTTCATGCAAAATGTCATTTAAGTTTTTAATATGTTTCTCAAGAAAAAAGTTTGTATATGCAAGTTATGATAGTTATGGGATTGATAATCATAAATATTTAAAAAAATGAATCCTAACTACGCACATTAAGATATAACTAATAATATTTTGAATTATAACTAAAATAATATTATAACTAATATCACAATGAGTCATAACTAATATTATAATGAATGATAACTAAGTAATAACTAATATCATAATAATTCATAATTAAATATTACTGTTAGCTATATATTTTGTAAAAGCCAGTTACAATCCGACACGTGGCAGAACAAGGGTATTATTGGAAAATAATTTAAGTCTCCAATCCTGATCGTACACGTGGTGATGATAATTGGTTCTCACATGGTCTGAGCAACATTGGATCAGTAAAGAAACGCAAGGTGACGTGGCTTCAACGGTTACTCATATTCAAATTCAAATACAGGAGGGAAGCCTAACTGCAAATGGTGGCATAATGGAGCTACTTCTAAGGCAACATGATCAACGATCATGGAGGAGCAGTTCGACGGTTCGAAGAGCAGTTCGAAGGTCATCTTTGACAAGTATAAATAGCAGAGAGACCCCCAGGAAAAAGACGAACTCAGATCATACAAATCAGTCATTTACTTCATATATTTTCTTTTCTAGTCTTTTACATTTCCAGTCTTTAAATACCTGTTCTTTAAATACCTGCACTTTAAATACCCGCACTGCACTTCGATTCATAGGAGTAGCTTCAAGTAGATTCAAGTAGATTGCTGTTGTAAACCTCTCCGAGGCTGAGTTCGGACCATTGTAAGTGTTCATTTTTATGAAATACTTCAATTGTTCTTCATATTACTGTTATTTCGCTCACATTTACAAAAATACCCTTCGAAAAGCCAAAAAGCCAACATATATTTTTGGCACGCTCAATGGGACTATTAAAATATGGCTAGACGAAGACGACAAGGAGAAAATGAACGCTTGGAGGAAGGCGTAGAAGGAGAGGTAGAAATACCTAATCCAGAGGATAATGTGGTAACACATCCTGTGGAAACTCCCATGTTATCAGAACCTTGGTCGAACAGACCAGTACTTCTGGACAAGAACCATATGCTCGTAGTATTGGACGAAACCAAGAAATTGGGTCATCCACCATTCCATCTACTCAGCCAACAAATCCATGGGATGGCTTAGTAGATGCTATGGGACAACAACTAATGAACACAATGGAAAAATGGGCAACATCCTTCTTGGATCGAATGAATAATCACCAACTAACAAACACAAGACACACGGAGGAGGTTTTAAATGTCCCTCAGCAAAGATTGGCTAGAAATAAACAGCCTATGCAAGTTAATGGACATTTTAATGGTCAAACTAGTACCCAAAACTTGGAAAGACCATCACCTCAATCTTGGTATGAACCT